GTTTCTTGTTCTGTTCTGATTCAGACTTAAGTTTCTTCTTCAACACCTTTACTTTCGCTCTGGCATTTCAAGCTCCGTAACGACTTTTGCATAATCAGCAATTTGTGACTCTAATCTTCTATTATTTATTTATTTTGGTCAATAATAATCACCTCTGAATCAACACAGAAAACATGAAAGAAATCAGGAGGCTAATCAAAATAATGGTAATTTGAAAGAAAACATGAAAAAAACCCCAAATCAAAAGCCTAATTTTTTACCCAAAAATAGATTTGAATAAATCAAGAATAGATGGCTCTGAAGTGGCTGGGGTTATAGATGAAGTTCTCCACTTCATTGGAGATCGACAAGCCATACGGGAAGAATTTTAGTTCTCTTCCATCCAAAAAAACATAATTTAAAATGGGTTTGGATTTGCATATATATATATATGTATATGTATATGTATGGAAGGAATTTCAGTTCTCTTCAATCAAAAAAAAATAAAAATAAAATTAAAATGGGTTTGGATTTGTATATGTATACAAATATATACATATATATATATATATATATGTATATGTAATGTATATGTATGGGAGGAATTTTAGTTCTCTTCAATCAAAAAAAAAAAAAAATTAAAATAGGGTTGGATTTGTATATATATATATATATATGTATATGCACATGATTAAGAAAAAAATATATGTATATATATATATGTACACATGATCAAAAATGTGTTTGTTCAAAGATGTCTTTGTAAAATTGATTAGAGATATGTTTGTTCATCCTGCGAGAGAGGATGGATATGGGTGGTGGTTTGAGGGGTGGAGAGAGAGAGAGAGAAAAGAGATATGAAAAAAAAGAAGGTTGAAAATAGAATGGCATCTTTTGTAAATTTGAAGAGGTAGAAAGGGTATTTTCGTCATAAAAACGAACTCAGTCTCTATAAAGGCACGTGACTTTCACATTCTGTTATCTTAGACAGAAAAGCTAATTGTGCGTTTTAGTCCATCAACCATAGGGGGGTTATGTGGTGATTTCCGAATGTCAAGGTGGGGAGCGGGGTCACTGCTGTGCAGTGTTCCCTGCTGTGTGGTTTCAGTCTTTTTTTTTTTTTCTTTTGACGTGATAAATTGCAAGAAAACAACTCATAAAACACTGCCATTTTATTAACACAGCAGGAACAGCAGTGAGGAATCACAGCAGTGACCCCTCATCCTGTCAAGGGGGTAAACCGCACCCGGCCCAAACCACAGGGGGATAAAGTGAAGTTTGCCCTAAAAAATATCATAACTAAACCATAAACTTTTGCTACATGAACCACAAAATTGCGGACATTTTGTTACATTAATTTGTGACGGCATTACGTATTTTATAGTTGATATTATAAAATTTTGTGATAAAATTACATTAATTTATAGTAGGGTATATATGGTATGCACCCTTAAGGGGTGCACACCCTAGGCCTTCCCGTGTTATATAGCCAATTATCTTTTATTTTTAATTGAATTACTTGTGAAACTTTATGGGCATAAGAACATTAGTAATATTTTAAATTATTACATAGGTTCATGAAAAGTGAATAATATGTTTAATTAAAACCAATCTTCTATAATTTTTTATTAAGTTAATTGATCTATATTGAGTAATATTTTAATAATCATTTAATTTCTCAACAAAAATAATATACAAGTCTACTTTGTAGACTTACTTTCTAGACCTAATGATGTCTAAATAAGATGACCAATCATCTGTCGGAATCTTTCTTAATATTTAGAGTAAATTACACATTATCCCCTTCAACTATTGTCATTATCACTTTACTCTCCTCAACTAAAAATTTTAACAACTAACCTCCCTCATCTACCATTTTTTTTTTCAATTTGGACCTTTATGACTAAAAATACCCTTTCATCAATAGGATAAATTACACTTTACCCCCATGAATTATCACCTATGAAGCACGGACACGTCCCTGAGGCTTACGTATGAGTGTCGGACACGGACATGGACACGGACACATGTCGGATACGCTGTGGACACGTGTCCGACACTCTCCCCTACGTGTTCCCCTTTTTTTCAGAATTTTTCAGAGTTGGACATGAGGTTGGACACGCGAGGACACGATTCAGACACGTAGGTGGATCGAATAAGCCCTAGAACTGTTAGAGAGGAGAAAGAGAGAGAGCCAGAGACAGATCGAAGGGAGAGAGAGGGAGATAGATCGAGGGAAGAGAGAGACAGATCGAGGACAGAGAGAACAAACCCTAACCTATTCTTCTTCTCTCTTCTGGTCCTCTGTTCTTCTGCCTTCGTCTTCTTCTTCTCTTCGTCTTCCTCTTCCTCTGTCTTCGTCTTCCTCTTCCTCTATCTTCGACTTCTGTCTTCTATCTTCTTTCGTCTCTCCTTCTGTCTCCTTCTCTTTCTTCTTTTCTCTTCATCTGATTTCATTTACTCTCTCTCTCCACTCCACCCTTTTCTTTTTATTCTCTTTTTTTTTTCTTTTGTTTTATTATTTATATCCATGTTTTTTTTCAAATTTATAAAATAAATTATTTTCATTTAAAAAAAATCAATTTTTATTAAAAAAATTTAGGTAATATATTTATTAATTTTATTATTATTGTAATTTTATAAAAATTAATATTTTTTTAAATTTTAGATATAAAATAAATAAATAAAACTATATATATTAAACGTGTCCCAACGTGTCGTGTCCCCTATTTTTTGAAAATTTGCGTATTTACGTGTCCATATCGTGTCCGGTGTCCATGTCCGTGCATCATAGATTATCACCCAATATCACTTTATCCCCTTGACCTATCACCCAATATTGCTTTCTAATTGGACGTTTTTATTTTTTCATTTCATCACTAAATTAATTTTTAGTTCTAAAAAAAAAAATTTAAAATTTGAAAACCAAGCCCAAATAGATAGTTAAGCTTTTGAACAGATAGTTGTCCTTTTGGATAAATAATGTCATTTTGACCCAAAAAGATTAAAGCTTTGGCCAATAAACAGTTTCAGAAATAGACCTCTCTCGCTAGAGTGACTAAAGTAAATCACTTTAGTTGATTTTTTAATTTAAAATAAATTAATACAAATTTATTTATCAAATTATTGTGTGTAGAATTTTAATTATTTATTTATTTTGGATGGCGAAGAAAGTCATATCTTCTATACCTATCTATCTATCTTCTATTCTATTATAAAGTGAAGGTTGGTGTTATTGGCATATTTGTGTTCATATTTTAGGTTTTTCCGGATTTTACCAAAATACTCTTATATTTGGTGAATTTTGTAATGGTGTTGTTGACATCCGAAATACCCTATACTATTATAAAGTGAAGGTTGGTGGTGTTCATATATTTGTGTCTCATATTTTGGGTTTTTCCAAATTTTTATACGCTTATATTTGGTGAATTTTGTAATGGTGTTATTGACATCCAAAATATCCTTATATTTGGTGAATTTTGTAAAAATTATGTAAAGAAGAGGAATGGCCTCAAACCCATCACCATGGGTTTAATGAAGGCTTTTACTATTTGAACAATACATATTATATGTATATTTTTCTTTGTCATTATTCTTAATTTTTTTTTTTTCTGAGTTACACATGCATATTGTGGGTGTGAACTTTTATGGACCGCCAGTACTATTATAAAGTAAAGGTTGCTAGTGGTATTGACACATTTTTGTCTCATTTTGAATTTTTCCAAAATACCTATATAAAGTGAAGTTTGCTAGTGGTGTTGACACATTTGTGTCCCATATTTTAGGTTTTTCCAAAATTCCCCAATATTTGCGTTGTCTCACTATTATAAAGTAATGGCTGCTTGTTGGTGGTATTGTGTTGACACATTTGTGTCTCCTATTGTCATATTTTTGGTTTATGTCTCATATTTTTTTGTAAAAATTAGGTATAGAGGAGAAAGGGTCTCGAAACCATGACCATAGGTTTAATAAAAAAACTTTTACCACTTGAGCAACTCATATTGTATGTATATATATATATTTTTGGTTATTATTCTTATAATATTATTTTTTTTCGAACTGCACACGCATGTTATACGTATATTTTTCTTTGTTATTATTCTGATAATATTATTATTTTTTTGAATTGCATATGCATCGAGTGTGCGGACTGCATATATGTTGACTCTACCTTGTTTTCCACTACATTCAGCATATGTTTCTGAAGCAGCATAGTGAGCTTCGGAAAGTTATTCAATACTCCTGAAACATATCTAGGTGGTGCTCCAAATGTGTAGTTATTGGTCTAAATCATAGGATCCACTACTTTTGTGTTAGAATTTTAGGAGACAACATGTTAAGTGTTAATTTGGTAATGGAATAGTTCTTGCTTTTCTTTTTCTATTATTTGAAGTTTGGTCATCAATTTTTTTTTTGGAAAAGATGTTAAAAGGGTGTTATAGTTTGGCCAAGAAATTGTAATGACATCACATCGGTTCTTCAATTTTTTTTTTATCTCTCGCATTATATAAATTATTTATTTTAATGTTATTTATGATTTAATAAAAAAATATAAACGAAGTTGAATTTTTATAAATTAATTAACTTAATTTCACTTTTAATAATAATAATAATAAAAAACCTTAAATTTATGTGCAACTTGGGCAACTCGGTCAATTCGCACCTAACTTGGGTTGAGCTTGGGCAGATAAACTTTGGCATAGATCTTATTCTTGTTTGTGTTTCAAATCATCCGCTAATTTACAATCAATGTCATAACAGAAATTATTGAACACCATAAATGCTGGTTCATTGTTACTAGCTATTTATTTAGCACAATCACTATTTTGTCAGTAATTCAAAGACTGACTTTCTATTATTTGGAGGTGAATGTGAAATCAGTTTGCATAAATTAGCATGTTTTTCTTTCTCTTGCTTTTGTAAATCAAAATTGAAATTGCTTTCTAACAGCCATTAGAATCAATATTGAAGTTTTCTTTAGAATTTTTCCTGTTAACTACAATTCTCTTCCGTATTTGCAGGAATAGGCCACACCATGGAAAACATTCGTTCAGCCATTGAAATTGGGAAGAATTTGTGTGATTTAACTGGACCATGGATTGAATATCACAATAACCTTGATACTAACATGGAAACTCTCAAAAGGAAGACAGAGCAATTGAATGGCCGAAACAATGACATAAATGAAGAAGTGAATTATGCAGAGCAGCGGTCAAGGAAAAGACGAAGGGTTGAAGTTAAACTTTGGCAAGAAGATGAGCGAAGGATAACAGATGATGTCCAAACTTTGGAAAGACAAGAGCCAGAAGTACGAGGATTGAAGATGCCTTCAAACGAGCAGAGTTGGGAAAGCGTGTAGTGGAGACGATTAAAGAGGTGGAAAAATTGCATGAAAATGGTGGATTTTGTTATGGTTTGCTAATTGATGATCCAACTTGTGGACACGCCATACCAGCAACGGAATCTTTGGCTGAAACCACAAGTGTGAGGAACAAGGAGAAAATTTGGAATTTCTTGATGGATGATGCGGTTAGAAAAATCGGTGTTCGGGAAATGAGGGGAGTTGGCAAAACAACCAGCATGAAACACATCAATAATCAACTTTTGGTTGAAACTTGTACCTTTAATGATGTTATTTGGGTTACAGTATCTAAAGCATTCAAGATCAAAAATCTACAAAGGTAGATAGCTAAGAAACTGAATCTTGGTCTTTCTGATTATGAGGATAAATTGCGTACAGCATCAGAAATACATAACATGCTTTCCCAAAAAAAGAGGTATGTGCTCATCTTAGACGATCTTTGGAAAGCATTTCCTCTGGAGGAGGTGGGTATTCCGGTGTTAGGATCGGGGATCCCGCCCAAGACCTTCCAGAAATTATACCAAGTAGAAAAACACACCCACACAGAAGGAGAAACCACATTTAACGTGGTTCGGCCTTAAAGCCTACGTCCACGGGAGAGTAACCGGTTATCACTATAACAATGGAGAGATTACAGAAAGATTATAATAGGGGAGGAGCTCACACTCTCCTCACTCACCCACTCACCCGTCTCCCTCTCTCACACCGAGAGAGACGGTCTCTCCACCTCACATCTCTCACTCTCTTCTCTCTTGGTTCTCTCTAGTTGTCTACTCTCCTCTCAACCTCTATTTATACATATCATGAGGGAAGGTAGCTGGACAGCAATGGTGAGTGGATTGGTTAGTGGGGAGGTGCCACTCCCACTTTCTCTAAAGTGGTCTCCAACCACCCCACTCTCTCTAAGGTGGGTTAGCCACTCACATGGGATGATAATAACATAGCCAACATCCGGAACCAACCAGAGATAACGGATGTAAACTAGTGTTAACTACGCGATCGTTAGAAGTGTCTAGATAGATGGAATGCGTAAATGTTGAAGTGGAGTGTCTCACGGAAGCTGAAACACTGAATCTGTTTATGAGAAATGTTAAAGAACATCAGACAGTGCTTGATCCACAAGTGAAAGAAACTGCAGAAAGAGTTGCCAAAAAATGTGTGGGTCTGCCCCTTGTAATTGTTACTGTAGCTAGAAGTATGAAAGGAGTGAATGAAATTCACGAGTGGAGAAACGCAGAGCAGATTATGGACAAAGAGAAAGGGCTATTTAAGCGGCTTAAATTTAGTTATAGTCGCCTAAAAGATGAACAAGCACGACATTGTTTCTTGTATTGTGCATTGTATCCAGAAGACTATGACATTGGTAGGGAAGAACTGATAGAGTATTGGATTGCTGAGGGACTAATACGTGAGACGGGCAATAGAGAATCAATGTACAGCAAAGGTCACACTATATTGAATAAACTCATTAATACCTACTTGTTGGAAGAAGGTGAATGGAAAGAATCTGTGAAGATGCATGATTTGATAAGAGATATGGCTCTCAAAATAACATCAACTAATCCTCGATTCATGGTCCGAGCTGGTGAGGGATTAAAAAGAGTTCCACATAAAGACTGGTCTGAGGATCTTGAGAGGGTTTCCTTAATGTGCAACGATATTGAAGTACTTCCTTCTGATCCACCCATTTGGCCTCACCTCACCACCTTCCTATTGGAAGTCAATTTGTCAGAAGTACTTTGGATTCCAGATTCTTTCTTTATGCATATGCCTCGTCTCAAGGTGTTGGATTTGTCCTACACTGCCATAGAGTCTGCCAAATTCCATCTCCATGTTGGAGAATTTGCATCAACTGTTGCTACGTCATTGTTATAAACTAAAATATGTGCCGTCACTGGAGAAACTAAAGGCATTGGAACATTTCGAACTAACTCATAGTAAGATTGAAGAAGTACCCCAAGGTATAGAAGAATTGGTTAATCTCAGAAAGCTTGAACTCTCGGAGAATGACATCCTAGGTATGTCTCCTTGCCGGAAGTTATGCAGACTCACGCAACTCCATTACCTTAGAATTCAGAGAACAAAAGTAAAAGTGTCGGCAGAAGAGCTGTTGTGCTTGAAGCAATTAAAAGATCTCGAGGTTCAGTTTCACAATGTGCAAGAGCTTACAAAGTATGTGAAATCTGTGCAATGCAAAAGTTTGGAAAGGTACAGCCTTGAGGTGGGAATTGTTGATAAAGAGAGACTCACTTGTGTGTACAAGTCTAAATATTTGTCAAGTGATGGAGTAGATGTCGTAGTGCTCCACAGCGACATAGAGGAATTGAGAATTAGAAGATGGGACAATCACATTAGCTTATCAGATATTCAGTCGTTAAGGAATGCAAGAGGTTTAAGAAAATTTGAAATCCAAGAGTGTGATGGGCTTGAATCCGTCTTTTCATCATCATCATCATCATCATCATCATCATCATGCTTTTCAGAAGACTACCACATCCCGCTAACAACGATTGAGGAATTATGGTTTGATAATTTACCCAATTTTAGGGTACTCTTTGACAGAGTTGTTCCACCACACAACATTTCATTTAACCTTAAGATATTGTGGTTCTGGAGATGTTCGAGAATGGAGAATATTTTCCCTACCCTGTTGTTGCAGAATTTCCCAAACCTTGAGTATCTTGAAGTGGCATTCAGCGAGAATGTGGAGGAGATAATAGTAGAAGTAGAGACGAGTGATCGAGGGGGGCATCGTGAAGATGATGGCAACACAATCACACTCCCAAATTTAAAGAAATTATATCTAGAATTTCTACCAAAACTGAAGAGCATATACAAGGGCATAATGGTCTGTGAATCTCTGCAAGAGATTGAGATATGGGGGTGTCCCATGTTAAGGAGATTGCCTATTTCTTTGCACATGAATGAGGATGGTAAGCAAGCTTCTGCACCACCTGCTCTTCGAAATCATTAATGGAGAAGAAGAATGGTGGGAATCTTTGGAATGGGATAATCCCCTCACCAAAACCACTCTTCAACCTTTCTTTCCCAGGATTATCAAAAGAGGCGGGTTAAAAGGATCTTCCAACATTTTAATCCTCATAAAAATAAAAATAAAAAAAAAAAAAAAAAAAAGTCAAAAAACCAACTTTGCAACGTCCTGTTAGATTTTTTTAAGGGTGAAAATTACTATGGTTATTATATTGTAGGTTTTTTTTTATTGTTATTTTGGTTTTATAATTTCAATAGATTTGATTTTAATCTTGAATTTATGACTTTGTTTTAATTTGATCCAATTAATTATAATTCTTAACATTTTTTTTATATAAAAAATACACATAAATGGCACGTGTCATATTTTTTACAACAAAATTATAAATTTATTCAATCCAGTGATTATTTTTCTTTAAAAACACTAATGAGATTATCAATTGAATCAAATTGACACAAAATCTTAAATTAAAGGTCAAAATGAAATTAATTGAAAATGTAGGGATCAAAATGACATAAATAGCTAAATATATTTGCCTCTTTTTTTTTAAAATATGGTAAACTGTATTTAAATAAAAATGCCTATAAAATTTTAAATTAGCCCTACACGCAGCGAAGTCACCGCAACACATTGCATTAACTATTTATTTATGGTTTGTGAATTTTATGAAAGTTTCAAATAGCTAGGCTTGAATTACTAAACGTGATAAATTAAATAGATTATGAATATCAGATCGATCTAATTCTTTTATGTAGATGGTATATACGAAGAATCTTACAAAATAAATAATTTGAATTATCAAAATAAAATTATGGTGGTGACCACATCTAATTCATATTATGAACTGAAGGGAATCCTGGTCTCACATATAGGACATTGTTATGTAAGATTAGATTTTGTGGATTCTCTAATAAAACACGCTTATAATTGTGCAGATTCTTGTAGGAATAATTTTCAATAATCTTATAATAAAATGTGAGAAAATAAAGTAAAATGCAAAAATAATAATAAACTCAATTTGCTGGATACTAAATTTGAAAAAATAATTTTTTGTGACAATTAAATTTCTTTTTGTTTATATAAAAGGATTACCAATATTAATGAAATACAAGCAATCACATATCATCACTCAAAAGAGAAATACAATAAGAGACATTTTAACAAAAAGACTAGAGGTTGAAAAAGCATTTTAAATACACTTCAAAATTTCTAAAACCAATTAAAAAACCTTAATCAATCTTTTTTGGAGTTGAATGGAAAAATTATATAAAGGGCGTTCAAAATAGTGATACTCAAACAAGAATATAAAAATAAATGATAAATTATATTTATGGTTAAGTATGTAACTATTAACTGAAGTACATAACATTTTCTTTACACATGAATCACAAAAAATTATGTTGTTTAACTTTATTAATTGAAAATTTTCTTTTTTTTGTATAATTGATTCTGTTAGTTGTTACAGCAGTTAATTATTGAGCTATCAAACTGATCGTCTTCCTCTTGATTATAGATCTAGAAGAATAGTGTGGTGGAAGTTATTATTGGGATAGAGTGCTACAAGTAGAAGCTATTTTGAATTGTTTTGTTGCGACATTAATTTAAATTGTAGAACTCTTGTTTGCTTTGATGGAGGCAATGGAACTCTAGGTTTGGCATGCTCTAAACATTAAACTAGCTAAATTGAATTTGTGGATTGTTGTTGAAACTTTTGGTATTGTGAATTAAAGAATTACTGATTGTGCTTTCATCTCCTGATTGCCATGATTATTTTGTGGAATGAAATTGAATTGAATTTCTCACCATCTCTTTTATGCATGCTCCCAGGGTGTTGTAAGTCTTATAGGTGTGTGACATTGTCACATGCCTAGCTTGGTTGGCTTTGAGGTGTGACATTCTTTCTTTGTTTTTCAATGTTATGTCATTATTTTTCTAACTTGATGGAAGAAAGGCAACGGAAAGGAATTGTTATAATTAATTATGTGAAGGAGCTTACAAACATCAATCTCTAATTTAGACCATTAAGATTGGTTTGTTTGAAAGAAGAAGCATAAGACAAGAGAGTTGATGACTATTAGTCGCGAAGCTGCTCTAAAAATGGCCTCTCCTACATGTTTGCATCAAAATACTTGTCAATATCAATAGTGACTTAGTTGCTTGCCCTTAAGTACATTGCCTATTTCTTTGTACATGAATGAGGAGGGTGAGCAAGCATTTGCACCACCTGCTCTTCAGCACATTTATGGAGAGGAAAAATGGTGGGAATCTCTGGAATGGGATGATCTCCATACCAAAACCTTTCTTCAACCTTTCTTCTCCAAAGGGTGAAAATTACTATGGTTATTATATTGTAGGTTTTTTTATTATTATTATTTTGGTTTTATAATTTCAATAGATTTGATTTTAATCTTGAATTTATGACTTTGTTTTAATTTGATCCAATTAATTATAATTCTTAACATTTTTTTTATATAAAAAATACACATAAATGGCACGTGTCATATTTTTTACAACAAAATTATAAATTTATTCAATCCAGTGATTATTTTTCTTTAAAAACACTAATGAGATTATCAATTGAATCAAATTGACACAAAATCTTAAATTAAAGGTCAAAATGAAATTAATTGAAAATGTAGGGATCAAAATGACATAAATAGCTAAATATATTTGCCTCTTTTTTTTAAAAAATATGGTAAACTGTATTTAAATAAAAATGCCTATAAAATTTTAAATTAGCCCTACACGCAGCGAAGTCACCGCAACACATTGCATTAACTATTTATTTATGATTTGTGACACCAAAACTAAATTTCATGAAAGTTTCAAATAGCTAGGCTTGAATTACTAAACGTGATAAATTAAATAGATTATGAATATCAGATCGATCTAATTCTTTTATGTAGATGATATATACGAAGAATCTTACAAAATAAATAATTTGAATTATCAAAATAAAATTATGGTGGTGACCACATCTAATTCATATTATGAACTGAAGGGAATCCTGGTCTCACATATAGGACATTGTTATGTAAGATTAGATTTTGTGGATTCTCTAATAAAACACGCTTATAATTGTGCAGATTCTTGTAGGAATAATTTTCAATAATCTTATAATAAAATGTGAGAAAATAAAGTAAAATGCAAAAATAATAATAAACTCAATTTGCTGGATACTAAATTTGAAAAAATAATTTTTTGTGACAATTAAATTTCTTTTTGTTTATATAAAAGGATTACCAATATTAATGAAATACAAGCAATCACATATCATCACTCAAAAGAGAAATACAATAAGAGACATTTTAACAAAAAGACTAGAGGTTGAAAAAGCATTTTAAATACACTTCAAAATTTCTAAAACCAATTAAAAAACCTTAATCAATCTTTTTCGGAGTTGAATGGAAAAATTATATAAAGGGCGTTCAAAATAGTGATACTCAAACAAGAATATAAAAATAAATGATAAATTATATTTATGGTTAAGTATGTAACTATTAACTGAAGTACATAACATTTTCTTTACACATGAATCACAAAAAATTATGTTGTTTAACTTTATTAATTGAAAATTTTCTTTTTTTTGTATAATTGATTCTGTTAGTTGTTACAGCAGTTAATTATTGAGCTATCAAACTGATCGTCTTCCTCTTGATTACAGATCTAGAAGAATAGTGTGGTGGAAGTTATTATTGGGATAGAGTGCTACAAGTAGAAGCTATTTTGAATTGTTTTGTTGCGATGTTAATTTAAATTATAGAACTCTTGTTTGCTTTGATGGAGGCAATGGAACTCTAGGTTTGGCATGCTCTAAACATTAAACTAGCTAAACTGAATTTGTGGATTGTTGTTGAAACTTTTGGTATTGTGAATTAAAGAA